ATATTTATTTATGCTGAATATTAACTATCCTGAATTAATGAAAATGTTAGGTCTACCCTGAAAAAAAAATGAATCGCCCTAATAGATCTAGATATAGACCAAAATTTATATAGATTATAGATCTAGACTTAGGCCTGAAGGAATTTCATTCTAGATGTACTACATCCAATGCGCCGACTCCAGCAAAATCTAGGTTACGTATTATAATAAAGGGGCGTGGCAAATGTTTATAATTCCGGGTTAGGCCTATTTATTTATCACATACAGCCAGCTGTTTAAATTAAAGTTAGTACTACATCTATTTTGTTTCACGCTTAACTTGATTATGGTATTAATGCAATAAAGATACAGCACAATTTTAAGCTGTGGCGGTTCTAGACTTAAATTCCCACATGAAATCATTGCATTATTTTGACTACTTGTCTTTTTTTAGCAGTCGCACATGGGCTCTAAACGTAAAGTCTCGTCATTATACCGGTTCTCCGTTACCCCACGAGAACTGGGCCCAGACAAACGGACACGGCTATGAACTACGACGGAACTAATGGTACTGAAATGGACACTTCTGATTCAAGAAAAAGACCTTTAGACGGAGAAACAGATAATGGGGTCACCAAGAGATCTAACCAGGGTGGAGGTTAGAATGCTTTTTCGATTGTTGTTATGTAGCAGCGAAGAATTTGCACCTTGTTTTATCGATGAACAACCAATATGGCGGCCTGATAAAAGTGCAGCCGGTGATTGCAACTTTGCAAATTTCAGCGAATAGTTCTTGATATGTTATGGATTTTTCTGTGTTAAAATTATATTAATGTTTAATTATTTTGTGTGTGAATTCATGGTTATTCTTGGAAGCATTTTATATACTGGATGAAAGTATTATCATTTTTAAGTCTCAACGTCCGGGTTGACTTTCTAGCTTTTTTCTTCGTGTAAGGGCATGCCTGCGTAAACGTGTCAAATGTGCAATTTTGGGTTTTTATAAGCAGACATATTTTTTTAAAATCCATCGGCAATATTTTACTTTTAAAATGTTTAGCTAACATTGTAATATTAATAGTAATGATACAATCTGGAAAAAAGAATATAATCATTTTAATAGTCAATCGACAGACGGAAGTTTAAGCTGCTTGCGGTCACCTCGGCTGAGCCGCGAAGGGCATGCATACTAAGCGGAAAATTATGACGTTGACCGACCTAAATTCTTGTTAAACAAAATATTATAATAAGCCGAGATAGATTAAAAGTTGTTTTGAGTATCTTTTTGGATTACATATGTTGTTAATATGCATAATTATCAAGGATAAACATATTTTTAGGTCAGTGAATGTTACGAGTGACTTCAACTTCGTTTGGACTCGTTTCTGTGCTACACACCCACTTGCAAGCCTCAGTGGCTGTTGGTGTGATCAGTGATCTTCTGCCCACGTGTCAAAAGCAACTCATCCTGATGTTTTAGCTTTTGCTCTTGGTTGCTAGGGCCGCAATTAAAGAGGTTTTCATAACTTTTGCACTGGGGCATCAAGGCAGTTTGGGACTGCCTAAAATAGTTTCTCCAGCCAGGATACCTGGAAGTTCCAAGACACCATACTGCAGAATGAGTGAACTAGAGGCCAGGGTCTTTCAAGGTGATGATGCAATTTTAACATATTTTCCCCTCATGTTCTCTGACAACGTTTTCGCCATCATTCATCGCATCAACATCGATCATTGACTCAAATCATCTGCATTCTTCAATGGTTTGGAATTGATTTCTTTTTAATTTTTTTCCCATCATTTTAATGTGACTTTTTCAGTCACAGGAAGGAGTAGGACATTTTATTGGTCATTACAGGCGAGCAGAAGATTAACAGAAGAAGCAATTGGGTTCACTGTCACAAGCAGCATTGTTATAGATCTAGTTGTTATTTCTTTCTCATCTTCTAAGCATAGATCTAAATGCAAAAGTGTTTTACTTTCCCTAGATCTTTTCCTTTGATACTAGATTCTAGAACTACTTCCTGTTTAGGTCTGGTTCATTTGCCATGGTAGCATGTGCATTCATGCGTCTTATCAGTTTTATAAATCAGTTGGAAAATGAAAAACTTAAGCTAGGCCCTATAGCATAATTATTAATCTAGATTTTTAAATAAATATTGATGCACATTTTTTTCTCTGTAAATTTGTTATGCAATAAACTTGACTGCACATTTTATGATCAGGTACATTTTGGTTTGCTGTTTCCAGTAATCATTTAGTGGCATCCTCTGGTAACACTAGTAGGAAACTATATCATGAGTATTTAAAAGACAACTCTAAATAACAATTTTGTATAGGCCTAAAGTTAAAATAAATGAAACAACAAAGTCATTGAAAAAATATGGTGTGTTTTTCTATGTAACATTCAAAGTACGTATAAGCTGCTGGAAGTAAATAATTATAAGAGATTACCTCAGAGGGCTAGTTATTACTTCTAAACTCTCCCTTCGGTTATCAGAAGAATAATATCCAGTGTCTGATAAACATTTCCCCATAATGTTATATTTTGTGGTTGCTTTATTATTCCAAATCAGATCCTTAAAGAGTTTGTTGTTTCATACCACTTTATTCATAGAATAACTTAGAAAATACTCTTCCCTAATTGTTCACTTGTGGAAAATACTCATGGTTTATCATTTTCTAGCAGTGGTGCCACCCATTTTTCCTTGATAACTGGTATATAGAGCACAAACTGGTACCCAACAATATCAATCATGAATTGTAAATTTGAGATCAAATTTGCAGTTCATTTAACAGTTCAATGCTTCACTTTAAAATCAGTTTGGTATTTTATTCTTCAGTATTTTGTGCAATTGTTTGTGAAACATCAGACGTAAAATATTCATTCTTAAACATTGTTTATGTCTATTGTAACTGCCCTGTCAATATTTAAGCTTGTCAAAGTGCTTAACTTTTAATGGTGAAGACAACTTATATATTTTTAAAACTACAATTGTAATTACATTTTTTTTAGATTTAGCGATGTAGCTTAATTTTTTAATACTGTAATTTTGAAAGCTTTTTAATGCGGTAAGATTTTTTTAGCCCATTGAAGAATAAAATTGGATTACTTTAGGCACAGACACTCTAAATTATTAAAAAAAAACAACTGAATTTCACTTATCTAAATTGTTTGATACCCGATAACCTATGAAGTAATGTGTGTACGTATATATATATATATATATATATATATATATATATATATATATATATATATACACACACACACATACATTCATACATGTTTTTTTTTTTTCTTAATTGTGGTGATCTCACAACATTATTATTGCATTCTAATATTTTGAAGTATAAATACTGTGCATAACAACCTTTCCTAACCAGAAATATACTGCACATTTGTTACTAACTACTACCACCATTATATTCATCATAACAGTTTGTATTACTTTTCCACTATAATAATTAAATAATTCATTCAAGATTTATTTAAGATTAATTTTTTGTTTCACTTTTAGCTTTGTATAAGGTTCTGGTTTATACTAACTAATATTTTTTTGGCATATCATGTTATCTTTTTGTTCCACTGAAGATAAGGAAAAGCTGATGTTTAACTTTTAATTGACACTGCACCTACTATAAATCTACAATAATGGCTAAAACATATTTTTAAAATATATTTTCTCTCCTTTTTTGTAGTATTAGATCATCATTGTGGTCCATCATTCATGGTCTTTTGAACTTGTTTCTAAATATATTATAGTAATAGTTTTGCAACTATGCATTTGGCAAAGGTTACATTTAAATATATAGTATTAGTGTCACAGGAATGTGTTTATACATTAAAATGTGAGACAATATTGGTGTGTTTACTTTTTTAAAACAAGGTAACAGGTGGTGTACATATTACATGACAAGACTCATGGATTGGCTCATTGTACAAATAAAAATATTTTCTATGGCAAAAAATTGTCATCTTTTGTAGTTAAAATTAAGATTGGTGGATATAAAATATACAAGTTGTAATTCATGATTTATTTGAATTTTGCTGAGCATGAATGTACCTTTTTGAAAATATGATTGTCTTTTTTTCCTCAGTCCTTCACTATGGTAACACAGCTGGGGGTACATGGCAGGCTAATACTGAAGTGATGCAAGGACAAATGGGTACTGGGGAAGGTGATGCTTCTGCATCAGATGCTGGACGTAAGTCGTGTTTTTTACTACTTTTTAAATAGTTACTAAATTCTATACATTCTATTTGTCTTCTCTAGGGTGTTGCCTGGGATTTTAACCGTCATTATTGTTTAAGAAAACATAAACAATTAAAAACATTTATCCCAAGTTCAATCATAAATGAAAATTGGTAGCTTAGAGAATGTTTTTTTTTTAATAATAAATATTCTATGAAATAGTTACTATGTTAAATTTCTATTCCTTTGTACTGCACTAGTAGCTGTTTTTCTTGTTTCCTGTTGTTGACAGTATTGCCATAGAATTTTTGAGATCAAACTAATTATAGCGTATTATTAAAATGACCACAAAACTTCAATTAAATTAAAAGGTGGACATCATCACCAAGTTGGCTTTAATATGTAGATCAGACAACACCCTAGTCCTGACTGAAAAATGTTTTGTAAGAGTAAAAAAGCCTTCATGTTATGAACGCTTAAAAACAAACAATTACAAAAAATAGTTGAAAATTTTAAATTCTAATCCATGCATTGGTATGAATAAAATCTTCACTTCATGTAGATGTGTCAGCATAGTTAAATCCCTAATGTCAAAATGACACATTTCAGCCTTCTCTGTTTAGTATTGTATTTTGTCATCTTAAAATTGTTTGAAGTACTAGTCAATTTATTTATAAAGATCTTGCTAGATAGTGGTTGTAATGCTTCCATTTATCTGCAGTTTAATCCAAGGTTTCTTATTTGCTTCTTCCCTATTGTTAATCTTAAAGTTAAATTAAAAACAAGCCGTACTCTTTTGAAAAAATTAATAGTACTTACTTAATTTTGTTTTTGCTACAATTGATTTGCCTCTAACATGTAAAATAAACCATTTGTTTCATGTAAACTAATTTTTAAAAAATCCTCTCAGTATTAGGCCTAATCTGAGTATGAGAACTTGTTTGACCAGAGGACAAAATTCCCAGTTATAGACTAAACTGAATGTATTAAATTTATTTATTCTCTAACAACCTCACATATGTGCATTTGGCACATGTAGTCATACTTAAAAGCTAAAAGGCCTAATAATTACTCAAAATCTTGTGTGTTGAATATAGTATTCGTCTGTTTCCAGTTAATTACTTTTTAAAACTTGTAACCTTGCACTGACTATCCAACTTAAGTTTTACTTTTTTATGGTCTTACTTTATATTTATTTTGTTTGATATAGTTTATAAACTGAATCGCAGTTAAAAACAACTGGAAACAAGTGAAAATTTGAGACCTAGATACTTTTTAAATTCCTTACCCATTCAGTAATCTTATACTTAATACTAACATTTAGTTATGCAGCATGCAGCTTTTATTTTTCCCTTCTTAAGAATAAACCTGCACTCAGTAGTGGAAAGCTTTTAAGATTAAAAAAAAATAGACATGTATAGTTCAATTTTACAGTTTGCTTTACTGTACATCCCAAGAAAGATAAAACCAAGTTTTAGAACATCTTTATTTTGTATTGTATTGGCACAACAATTTCATTATTTTTATGCTTTGGAACTGTATCAGCAAAAAATACATTGCTATATGATATACATTTTGTTATCATTCAAAGCCTGTAATGATCATTCTTGATTTTTATACTAGTATTTTATATAATAAAACACCAGAGCTATTCTAAAACAATACTGTATGTGGTGTTTGTAATGTCTTTAATGTTTCTTGTGAAAGCCTCTTAAAGGGTTTGTTATGATTAGTTGACATTCATGTGTGACTTAGTAATCGGCTGCATACCAATCTGTTTTGGAAGTTAAACATTTCCATTAGACAACATTAGAGAGTAGTTTCAAAGAATAAGTTGTCTTAATTATCAGTCACAATTACAGGCTATTAGTTGCAGCACAATCAGAACAAAGACTTTTTTTGTGTTGTTAAAAGCAAACATGGTCAAGTTAGTGACAACCTACTTGGCAAATGGTCATCTCTGCATCTTAGATGAAATGAGTTTGATTTCTATTCAAAATAAGTTTCTCAATTATTGTTCTTTTTTCATCTCTAGGCTATTTTATGTCTTTTTTAATTTAATATATTACAAATAACAAACTTCGTTTAATCTATAAAATGAATCCTGATCATTATTAGGTTTAGCAATGAGGTATATTCTCTCAAAAGTATCCTTATTGTCAAACAAATATTTTTTTTTACTTGTTTGCATTTAAAAACTTAAAATATTAGATATAAATATAATCTAGTCCATATCCGCTAAGCGGTATGGTGGACATATTCTTGAATTGAGCGCATCTTAATTCTACAGAAAAAAATGAAACCCATTTTTTTTTATCCATTACATTATTTACTGGATTGCTAAGATAGTACCTGCAGAGTTGGTAATTTAATAGGTGGTCATGCCCTATTAACGGCATATTAAGAGAATATGGTACAGCCATTTAGATGTTACTTATGTCATCTAAAGTTCGATAACCTATAAACATGATTTATCAAACGTTGGTACATTTAGTTAAATGTTCTTGACAGTTGTCTGTGGATAACTCCGCATTTAATTCTTTTCTCTGTCTAGCCTGGAACATGACAAAAACCCGTATGGTTACGGTCTTAAGGCTAACTCTAGGTTTTAATTAAATTCTATTATCAGGTTGAGCCTGTATTTTCTGGAGTATTGATAATTCCCTTTCCATTAATTCCATTGTTTATAATTTTGATATGAGTGCGAGTCTTTGTCAACTATTTGTCGTTGTAACCTATCACTCACAGGCAGCGCAAGGCGTGTAATCTAAAACTAAAACAGTGTGTAGTTGCCGTGTTATCTAGGCCGATTTAGTCAGCTGATGTAGGCTGCTTTACAGGTTTAAGCTTGGCGGTATGCCAAGCACTGCCGCAGAACTCGGTGGCTTAATGGTTTTGCGATTACTCGTTTTGAAACTTGTATATGGAACCTACTTGTATTTAAAATAGATCTATCAAAAGCTAAACATGTTTAACATCTTTTCGACACCATTCTCTTAGTGTTTGAATGCATGTGTAATGTTTTTACACACCCTGTAATAATTAAGCAAGAACATTTTGCAATGCCTTTCTGGATTGTATTAACCTATGCCCGTAATGTGACATCCGATTTCCCCCGGATTCCAAATTTTTATAGAATTCAAATTTTCAGTCCGAATTTTTTCAACTGGCAATCTATATAGTGTACATCTGACCCCGTTTTTTTTACCGTTAATCTAGCATACGTGGTACTTGACACCCCCCCCCCCCCCCCACACACACACACACTTCTACCATTTCCTATTACAACTCGATTAACCCACCCCTCTTCTAGCAAGAGACGCTGTTTTCTAAGTTTATGTGAACTTACTTTGACCCCTAGTACGTGGTATACTGCTTGGTGAGGATGGGGGGGGGGGGGGGGGTGATTTACGACGACGACAATCTGAAAAAGCGCTAGTTTATGCCATGACGTATGCTCTTTAGGCTTACTGATTTCCGAACATTGTGAACTCTTGGTGACCCATCTTCCGTGTCTTTTTTTTTGCTGGGGGGGGGGGGGGGGGTTACGACGACAATCTGAAAAAGCGCTAGTTTATGCCATGACGTATACTCTTTAGGCTTACTGATTTCCGAACATTGTGAACTCTTGGTGACCCATCTTCCGTGTCTTTTGGGGGGGGGGGGGGGGGGTACGAAACCGGCAATTTTTAATAGCAGTCAAGGCCAGTCCTAATCCATAAATAATACTATCAAATGATACATTTTTGGCTTGATTCTATTTTCAAAAACAGTTAACACGCCTCCTCCTGCGGCCCCCACAAAACTTTACTGTCACTTCACAACACTTAGAAATCTAGGGCCTACCTCTAAAAACAATAAAGACCTCCGAAAGCAAAATCACCAATGAGCATATATCACTCCTTTAAAAATATTGAAATCGGGAATAAACATAGTTACCTTTAAAGGGCAATTTTACCTAAATGGGCTAATATCGAATTTCAGCTATTTTGGTCGATTTTGTCCATCCCATGAACTAAAAAGTTAACATATGACAAGTTTTTACAGTTGAATATATTACCCAATAAAATTGAAGATTGAAGTGTATATAATTACAGTTAAAATTAATCAAGTACAATTTGGAAATGTATAAAGCAGTCTCACTTCGTATTCCATAATAGCTTTATATAGTTGACATCATGAATAAAACATGTCCTTTTTAGTTGCAATGTTCCATTTAGAAACAGTTTTTTTAAATAATTCAAATGTAAAAAAATAGAAAGGAAAATATACATTTCCAAATTGTACTTGATTAATTTTAACCATACCATAAAATAATTTTTCTTTGGACCTGATTCTAATTTTTAGGTCCAAAGAAAAATTATGTTATGGTATGGTCTCATCCCTGCTAGATCTATATGCACTTGACATACAGTCGTAAAGTTTTTTGACTTTACGTATACGTACCACATCCAACCACTAAAAGGAAAAGTTTAAGGAACTTACTTGCAGTGTTTCTTCCAGACTTTTTTTTCTCCGGGGGGGGGGGGGGGGGGCTAAGCTAAATTATACTGGAAGAAACTCTGCTTACTTGTAATCCCAACAAATAACACTTTTCTACTAATAAACACTTTTTCATTTTTCTGTCAATCTGAAAAGATCAAACGGAATTAGGTACTTAAAAAGGGATAGCTTTATTACGATTTCTCCGGTTCCCATCTTTAATGTTGTCTGCTGTGGATATCATTATCACAGCTACCCCATTATATCAGAATTAAGTAGCGTTTTATTAAGTTTGGAAAAAAAAAACATGTGCTACATAGGAATCACGTTTATTTTCTCAATAGATGCAAATATTGGTCAAAGTAGGTCACGTTGGTTAGTAGAAGCATCGACACGGCTTGTCATAGCCTAGGCCTATCTTCGTTGCCCAGGCTATTTCAGGTCACATGAGACAACAGACACGTGTTGATTTTATTGAATAGGCCTAGTCTGTGACACGGAGAACCCGCCGCCCTTTCGTTAACTTTGAATTACAAGTCGCTCTATAAATTTACAAACAAAATATTAGGTACATTAGCCTACATAGGCTTGTACTTTAAAAACTAAACATCATAATCACGTAATACTTTAAATGTAGCCTACTGAATCTATCTTTAATTCTCGTTTTCCATTAGCCGGCTGTTCATCTTATTGATATGCGCCTTTAAAAAGCTGTCACGGTAACTCGAATCAGCGCTGCAGTGCTTATGTGTAACGTTCTTGCATTTCTGCATCGTCAGCGTTTAATCTTTTCTAATGTCACCTTTAAACTGCTATCTAGGGCGAGGTGTTATTCATGGTGTAACATTTATAAGTCAAACAAATGATCAAGTCAATCGACAAATAAGCTACGCTACACATTTATTCTTTGAATAAGTCTACAATGTGCACATGTTGTAGAATATGTATATTTTATACATATTCGTGTATATTGATAATTTTTATTTAGCTAAACTTCATAATGAGCTTGCAATGACGAAATGCCCAACCAAGAGCTTTCCTTTCCGTGATATCGATGTCTTGAGTCTGCCAACCCCTCCCCTCCCACATCCTTGTGTGTAAAACCCAATTCCGCGTGTAAGCCGCGGTTTGCGTGAGTCTGCCGGCAAATCAATTTTGAGTCGATAAAGCACATTTTACCAATGTGTGTTTATTTGAAGTCCTAGCGAAATTGATTACTGAACAATTTCTACTTATTTCACTGCTCTGTATTTAAAATCTTATTATGATTCCTGAGATGAACATTTTACACACTGTCAATACCTACACATAATCATGTGTGTAGTTAATTCTATTTGAGCATGGTGCAAATATCAGCTATAAAACGGTCAGCTAATTAAAAAAAGACTAAGTGGTAGGTCTATATCCTGGCCTGTCTGTCAATCATGAAAAATAAAGGTGTAGATAAATCTCTCCTCTAAATATTGTATAGAGAGCTTTATGTGTAAAACATTAAGCCAAACACAGTATTTCTGTCCTCATTCTGATTCCAGCTGCTGTTTTACCACTGGCTCACCCACTAAAACCCCACTACTTAACTCTCTCCTCCTAATAGATTCTCAGCCTACTTTTTCCCCTGCCTTAGTTTTTTTGCTCACTGGTATTTGGCCAACTTGTGTGTTAGTGCTACCTGCCTGGAAGCATTAAATATACACATGCCCTCTCTCACACACATTCAAACATTGCAAACTCATTCTCATTCATTCCCACTCATCCTCTATTTGACACACCATTTTGAAAGTTTAAAAAAAAACACGTAATTTTGGGGGGGGGGGGGATTCTGACTGACTTGAGTGACAGCTAACAGGGAGAGGAGGGCTTATAATTAGGGTACAATGACTTATTTTAAGACACATAAATGGGTAAAAAGATTTAGACAGTATTTTGTATTTTAGAGTAGATCTAGAGAAAAGGTTTTGGGACTTAGCTGTCTTTTGTAGAAACTGGTGTCATTTTATGGCTTGGTGATTTTGACATCATGTTATGGGTGGGGTATATAAAGACCAGCTACCATGATATAATTTATACTGCTTTATAACTTAAGAGTGCATAAGTGAAAACATTACAATCGTATCAAGTTTTAGTCAATAAATGTAATTTTTTTTCCCCTTTAGTTTTTTTCTTATTGTATTGATTTAATATGAAATACATTATACATTATACATATCCAAAATTACAAAACTATTAAACAAATTAATTTTCTTTGTTATATATATATATATATATATATATATATATATATATATATATATATATATATATATATATATATATATATATATATATATATATATATATATTGTCCTTATTTAGATTTAAAAATGCTAAAGAGTTGAATGTGTACTTTGTACTCAGATAAAAAGTGGAACTTAACAAAAATATGACAGTTGTATTCAGTAACCTTTATGCTTCTCACAGTTAAATAATGTAAATACTTCAGAAAATAGATTTTCTTCATAGAATTTTATAAACACAGTAGTAGAGCATTATGGACTGCAGGTAGCTTTGAAAACTTATTTGATTCAGCCATAAATATTCCACTAAATTTTTTTCAAAAAGACTCAAATTTAGCATGTTTATTAACAAAATCATTTTGCAAGCTTATTTGTTTTCACTACTTTTAAAATTGTAATATTATATTTAACTAATACAAGTTTGTATTTTATTGCTAAAATTTCTTTTTTTTAGTTTGGACATTAGTTTGTACCTTTTAAAATAATAATTTTATCTTCAACTTTTTTTAGGAGACAATATACACTTGAAGATTTTGGTGCCCAGTGTAGCAGCTGGAGCAATTATTGGAAAAGGGGGTGAGACCATTGCACAAATACAGAAAGAAGCTGGGGCAAGAGTAAAAATGTCTAAGGCAAATGATTTTTATCCAGGTAAGTTTTCAATGAACTGTTTAAAAATAGCCCTGTTTAATTATTTTATGTTACATAGCTTTGTCAGTTAAGTTATATTTTGCATTGAAACACATTTAGAATCCCATGCTTATTTCTAATTTTAAATTAAAATTGCATATTACAATAGTGCTGGATATTTTCTTAAAATTTGTTACCTATTTTTACCTATAATGCATTTACTGATAAACAAAAAGAAAACTTAATTACAATATTTTTCAGGTACCACCGAGCGTATATGTCTAATTATGGGTGCCCCTGAAGCTGTAAGACAAGTAAATAATTTTATCATGGAGAAAATAAGAGAGAAGCCGGAGTCCAACCCTACTACACCTACAAAACCTGATGATGCCAAAAATAATTTTGAGAGGCATCGGCAGGTAATAGAGGTATTTCAGGTTCCATTTTCATCCTCATCTCATTTTCATATGATCTGCCTTTGGTTAATAATAAAGCTGTCAAAGTTGCTTTTGAATACATGGCAAATTAATATAATTTTGAAATCAAAAGTACACATTTTAACTATTTATGATCAGTTAAAATTGCATATATAGAAGTTTTCAACCAATATATTGCCTCCCATTCCTTACATCAGAGTACTATAAGACATTTACCATTATATCACATCAAATGTGAAAATTGTATTCTATGTATTATTGTATGTTCCGTCTGAAATAAAAGTGTGATGAATAGCCAAAAATATTGAATGCTTAAAGTTGAATGTTAACTAAAGGCAGAATCTGAATACTTCTAATATTATGTTGAATAATATAAAATATGATATTGAGCAAAAAATATTTTACTTAAATGTACAGCAAGCAAACCAGTTAGATTAATATTAGATCATTTTTTTTTGGTGTAATTTCAGTAAATTTGAAAAAAAAAAACCAATACAAATCTGTATTTTATAAAGTGTTAGTGTAATAAGAAAATCTATCTTATCTATAGAAATGGTTTCTAAATTTAAACTCATGATATGAGCTGAGCATGATAACTCATAGTAAATATTTTTTATTTTGTGTAATTGAATTTGGAGAATACATTTTTTTATTTTCTGATCATGCTTCATTGTCATGCTCATGCCATCTTCATCTTCATGCAATTAATTTTACTGTATGGTATATTATTATTGGTCAGGTTAGATGCAAAGTTGTATTTCATAATTAAGTTTAAAATATGAAAATTTCTATGGGATGTGCTCATGCAAACCATAAAAAAGAAATCCTTGCCTTAATATTAATAGGTGAAGATCTTAATTCCAAACAGTACAGCAGGAATGATTATTGGAAAAGGTGGAAATTTTATAAAACAAATAAAAGAAGAAAGTGGTGCTTATGTGCAAATTTCGCAGAAGTCTAAAGAGACTAATCTTCCAGAGAGATGTGTAACAGTTGCAGGTTAGTTACCCTTTTTATAAAAAGATTAAGAAATTTTTTTTATTTTGTCTATAAAAGTATAATGCTACATATTGTCTATAAAAGTATAATTAAAGGCATATCTATAGCAGCCTGAAATCTAAATTGTAAATAGTTTACAAGCTTTTGCTCTAGACTCCCTAAAGGTAGTAATGTCTCACTAAAGTCTGGCTTTCAGAGCTTTGAGATACTCTCTTTTATCTTTTTGCTTTACTTAGTAATCTCCTTTCAAATCTTCTCTAACCTTTGACATTGTTTTCTATTATTTTTAACTATTAAGATTGTCTAGAGTTTCTGTAATATTCCATTTTTTGTCAAGTCAGTATGCTTTTCTGTAAACAAAGCTATTCTATTCAACTAAACTTCTGATAAAACATTTGTATCTGAAACTTTAAAAATTCTATCAACCAACTTCCAAGGTGTCTAACCCTATTAGAGAATAGTGGTCAATATTCTTGTTTCTTTTTAAAATTTGTTTTAAATAAATATGGTGTGCGAAAAAATTAATTTTGAAAATGCAATATCCACCTGTGCATTTTTACACAACTTCTCTTTTAATTATTCTTTAACGTCAAGTGACCTTAAAATAACTTTTTTTTAATAGGTGAATTGGATGCGAACATGAAAGCAATGGATTTGATTCTTCAGAAAATTGTTGAAGATCCACAGAGTAGTAGTTGTCCAAATATTAGTTATGCTGATTATACTGGACCAGTTGCATCTGCTAATCCTACAGGGTCACCTTTTGCAAACACCCCATACCAAGCACGCAACACTGAAATGATGAATAATACAGCTGCGGCATATCCTACTCAAGGTTTTAATTTCGGTACGAATGGAAACAACTCTTATAATGGAATGGGGGGACTTGCAGGACTCAATATGACATTGAGTGCTGCTGCCATGGGACTAGGTGGTCCTATGGCTGCTCAAGCACTTGAAAACTTAAAGATGACCTTACGCAGTTCTGGCTACACAGAGCAGGCTACAGAAGAGATTAGTACTGCCATGAACACTTTAGCCAATTATGGAATTTTAGGTATGGGGATGAGTGGTGTAAATCAGATGGGGGCTAACATGACAGCCTCTAGTTTAGCTAGTATGCAAGGCATGCAGATGGCTGGCACCACTACAGGGGCTGCAGCTAATACATCTTTTGGGGCGGCAACATCTCAAGCTTCAAGTATGTTTGGGCCTGTGGGCAGTACTACTACAGGCCAACAGCAGTCGACTAACATATTTGGAAGTTCTTCACCAAGTATGGCCGGAGCAACTGATCGATACGGCTCCAGTCCAATGCTTGACACTTTTGCCCAAACCCCTGGATATGCTGCTTCAGCAAGTGCTGTTGCATACCCAGCACAAGATAGATCATCAGGTGCAGTCACTGTAAATGTTAACCAGAACTCTTTTGGCCTGGGTACTGGCATGTACAGTCCTACTGATGATAAAACATCAACTAAACAAGAGATGGAAGTCCCTGAGAATATAGTGGGAGCTATTCTTGGACCAGGTGGGAAAGGTATTGTGGAGATCCAGCAGTATACTGGTACCAATATTCAGATCTCCAAGAAAGGGGTTTATGCTCCAGGCACTCACAACCGTATTGTGTGTATCTCTGGTACAGTGAGCAATATCACAAGGGCACAGTACATGATCCAACAGCGCATCCAACAGGAAGAGTACAAAAGGGCTAGACAAGCTACTGCTCGATAAATCCACCTGATATTTAAAATATGTGGTCTACTCAAGCCTAGGGACTACTACTAAAAGTGGATTTATACCATGAAAAATTTCAGTGATAATCTAAACTGTTTTTCTTTATTTTCAAGTTAAATCTATTTATTCTTGTTTATTTCAGTTTTGCGAAAGATGAATTATTTATTTTTGGATTTTTCTGGTTGGTCTTTTTATTTTGATCCTTCATATTCCCTGACTAGTGCAGAATTATTATACTCGTCTTCTATTGCTGTTTAGCATTCAATATTCTGAGTCGTTTAAAATTAGACTCTTTGTTGGTTTCCTTGTATTAATTAGTTGTATGGATTTTTAAAATTAGCACATCCTGTGAATGTTTTGTTTGTTCTCATTGTTCACCAAACATTTCACCCCTCATCCCATTTATTTAACTGTAATAAAATCACATCAGGTCTGGCGTTGGTTTTTTACAGTACTGGTCCACTTGGAAACTGAAGGGCTGTGAATTTTTTAATTGTATTATTGTATTGTTTGCTTTCTTCCTTTTTAAAACTTAAGTCAAACATTGCCACGAAATACGAGTAGTAGAATATAATTTTTTATTCTAGTACTGAGTAATCCGTGGCAGGCCAGTAAAACTGCCTTCGCTGCTCATTTGAATTTCATCATCATCCCATAATCATGATCATTTTTAAAAATTTACATTTTATCAGATTGGGGCAATATCTTATAATGGCATCCTGCCGAAAGGCCCATATTTCAACCATAGATTTGTTTTTGCATGTTTAAAAGAAAGTTAATGGAATTTAGGGCTACCTAAACTTCCCATGTTTTAAACTGCAATTATAAAGTACCATTTGTGATAATACATTCTACATTAATGTAATTATGGAAAGCATTGTGACAAAATTTTCTATTTATTTATTTTTTACTTACTATGCATTAGAAATTTTGTTATAAGTAAAATGTTAGTCAAGCCATATGATTTTAATGTGATGATGTTAATATCAAATGATTCATTGACACATTCATTCACTTTTCTTTTTCTTCATTACTCCATTACTTTTTTTCCCACTAATGAAGTGTTTTCCTGTGGTATTAATAAAACTGATAAATTTAGTGGCAATATTATCAATCAGGATGCCAGAATGTTAAGCTTATTTTTAAGCAAACAGTGTCTAATAAGCAGGAAGAAAGCATGTGATATCTATTTATAATCATAAATCATTCTTCATGATGTGCACATTTACAGACATACACTACACCCATCTTGCTTATATGGATTTTATTATCTAATGTTGAGAATCCAGGTTAATGCAAAGACAAATGGTGACTTCATTAATCGCTATTCCCATAGCTTCATATATAGCTCAATGTGTAATAAGTTATAGCATTGTACAGTTTTGTCACATTGCTTTCCTTTCATTTTATACAGTCATTGCCTATGAGCACATAACTTAAACATATATCAATATTTAAAAAGAAATGTCTTTCTTTAGAGAGGATGTGCAGTTATAATCAATTGCTGTTGTCTTACATCAAGCAAGAGAGGACTGTATTTTATGTATTACAATATGGATATACCTGTATGTACAAATGCTACATTTTAGTCAATTTTTTTATTTATCTCATTTGTTAACCCTGTGTTTTATTATATAGTCAGTCTTAATTTTTTAATGGTGGCGAACAATAGCCAGAAAAGACATGGTCAGAGTTTATAGCAAACTATATGCTTATTAACCTTAAAAGCAAACTTGTTTGAGATTTATTTTTCTGTGTAATATTTTAACTTGAAATCTGGTGTGCGGGGTGGTTTGTTCCAGTGTTGTTGTTTTGTGATCGTGGTGTATTTTAATTTTTCAACCAGGGAAAAAGATAAGAAAAAAAATTGCCTGTTAAAACATTTTCTCAACTGAAAGAACGGGTATTGTTGAGATAATATTTAAACAATACTGTTTGTGAATTGTGATTCTTCAGTTTTTTTAAGACTGGACAAAATAGGCCACCATAAGATTTATTTTTATTATTAGTATAATATATTTATGAAAATTCTAGATATTATTTTTTCATTAGATTCTGATTCATCCTATTTCTTCACTTTTCAAAATTTTATTTCCCCAACCTGCATATGTCAAGAAATGAATTTATTACTTCCATCACCTGAGTCCACCTGTATTTCACACTACTATCTTTTTATTAATCATGAATCAGCATCTGACATTGTTGTAACTAGCCAACCCATTTTTTAAATTAAGCCACGAGATCTGGATTTTGTCACAGCCCGAAGTCTTTCCTATGTCATGGTGTACGGGGATATTTGCCATTGGCCATCAGTCCACACATAAAACACATTTCACAGTTGCCTTTTGAAAAGGGTCTTTTGTAAGTCATCTTAATATTTTTAAAAATGAAATTCAAAGCAACCTCACATTGAATGCAGCACCTACATAAATAATCAAATATTTAAAGCTACGTTTACATTTTTAGATGACAAATTTTGACTAGGCATGGGGTTTTCATTTATCATTGTTGTAAGTTATTACCTCAGACATTTCACCTGTAACAAAAATATTTGCAATTTCAGACTTGTACATTTTCTCAAAACAAAATTTATCACCAACATTCATTTTGCATTCAAGTCTAACAATTTTTATATATTAGGGTTTGTTGCTTTTGAAAAGAATGTGTGAAAAGTCTTATCACAAGTCTAAAACCATCTAACTTGTACATCAATAAAGAAGCATTTATTTATCAAATAAGCTGTATGTTTATCAACACATGCACACAAACACTTAAGATTCGTGCTGTGTGCATACCTTATTTGTATTATAATGTACTATTATTTCAGTATCAAATTGAAATGCGTCTGGCTGGCCAGGGGCAGATAATCCGGTCACCCCATTGTTAGTGTGTGCCTCTGTAGATGCCAGCGCTTGGTAGACATTTGTTGGTGAGGCGAATAGGTGGTGGGCTCCTTTAGGGTTCTGACAATGTTGTTTGAGACAAACAAAAGCTTTCAAAAAAAATAGTGATAAATCCTCCCTTGAGACAGAACTGGGTGCATTATTAAATAAGCATTAATAAATAGCAAGAACTAATATATCCCTGAAACCGGATTGATTTTCTTTTTACCTTGTTGATTGTTTTATTGTGTTAAAAATTATTTTAAATGTGCACATTTTATACACATTTTAGTGCACATCTCTATAGAAATACAAATTTTCCAAACTTCAGTTGCACTGTGAAATTACATTTTTAACAAGCACTAGATTACAAGATTTCAATGGTTAGAACTGTATATAGAAATTAGTTTTACTCTCTAAATTTGACCTTTGGAATGCTGCTTGTGCCTAGATCTTTTTTTTTTATTCAGCTTCAGAAAAGAGCACATGGTTTGCTTTAATTTAAATAACAGTACAGTGCTCACTGTATTATCTAGTATACAATGGGGATAAATCACCTTTGCTAGTGTTAAGTTATTTTGTCATCTGTATTTATGGCTTCACTTAGTTATGCATGCCTTAGATTATAAATGGTAGACATAATTGTGGATATTCATGAATTATTTTATCAGTCATGGTAGCTCATTACTTTCGCTTTTGTCATGGCAAGCATGCCACCATCTTTGTTATTGTTGTCTCATTTTACTGGCAGAGATGCTTTATTCCCGTATTTAAATTATTTAACGGTAAAACCTGCAACCTAATATGTGGTTGGTGATAAAGGAGGACTAACATGAAGTGAGAATATGCAGTAAAAAAAAAATAAAAGTTTTCTCAATCTTTTCGTTTCTTTCTTCAGTCATTTTATTTTTATAAAAAAATTTTTATTTCAGGTAGTAAATTATTTTAAAATGGAGTCTTTTATGGCTTGGTTTGTTGGGTAGACCTCTTATTTACTGTTTCCATTGCAAAGACTGAGCTATTTAAAAGCAGATGTAATGGCCAATTAAAAGTTTTAAAATAACTGTTCAAAAGGATTGTAGGCCTTTGAACTATAAAATATTTTATGAAATGTAGGTAACTACATAACTCCTCTCCCCATTATCCACTCATATCTTGCTTGCTGTAGCCTACTACAAGCTTGCCCAGTTTACAGATTTAAATTATAAGGTACGAGTCGACCCGTGGTGTATCATACGCCGCTATTTAGTGTTTTATTTTCTACTTTTCAGTAATTCATAATTTGTGAATTCGATAGTACCAATGCTGCAACTGAAAATATTTACTTTAAAACGGTGCCCCCCCCCCCCCCCCCCCCCCGGTGAAAGCAGCCTCCTCTTAGTTACCTCTAAGTTTAAAATAGTTTCAAACTAAATTATCTGCCCCTAATAGCCCGTCACTAAACCCGGGCTCTATGACTGTAAATATTTAGCGTGACCACAGCTCACCAGACCATGTGATGGGTGGGGGTGGTAGTGATAGAGAGGAAGAGAGGGGACTGCACAGCACGCTTGCAGCTTGTTTTCTAACGTCTCCCAGAAGAGAATTATATATATATAGATGATTAAAATTAAACTTGAAAAAAAGCTTCAGCTGCATAACAACGGGAGGACTGTTTGGTAATTTAAAAGAAATATTCATAATCAAATTTTTAACATCCATTTTCATTCTTGTATCTAATTCTAAACCTAAATATATGATCCACTTTGACCCAATGCAGCATGAGGTTGCACTTTCCTGGTTTATATAGTTTCACTCTTTTATGGGACCTTGCAATAAATTAGATACAACAGCTGAGAGTAAAAAGTACTGATGTCAAAGAAAATTAAAATATAACCATGAGAGGAGAACAATTAAGATAATTGTGAATTTATTTTACACAAGATCATATTTACAAAAATTAACAATGAACATATTTTTAAACATCTTTGGTGGTCCAGGTATTTGTTTTACGTTCCTTTGAAACTAACTTCTTGCTCTTTCGTGTCAAGTACTTCTGCATTTTTCCCTTTTCCTCCAACTCCTTTTTAAATTCAGCTTCCCATAAAGCTTTCTTAGCAGCTAAAACAGAAAAATACAACTTTGATAGTTGCTACTAATAAGGTTTGAGTTTTAAAATTCTAACATGATGGGATTTATTAGTAAAGTCAAAAAGTGAAAGTAAAATATTACATAAAACTAAAATATCTGGAAACAAAACATTCACAATAATTTAATAGCTTAGGTTTGTATCCAACTTTTCCTCAATTTTATTAAAATGAAATAATTAATCACTCTTAAAACTGATCTATTTTTCTCCATTGTGTTAATACCCCATTCATTTCTTTCAAGCAAACTTCTTATTTATTTGTGAGTAAATTTAAATCAATTTGAAAAATGGGTAAGTCTAGCTTTATCTTACTTTTTTCTAATTGCTTTATGGCAAAATCTCTAAAAATGTTGTACGTAAAAATAAGCCTGCATGGCAAAAAAATTATATTACATTTCTTTAAGAAGAAAGGTTTCTTTCCTTCCTTTATTCTCTCTCTCTCTTTCTTTGTCCATTCTTTTTCCAAAAGTTCTTGCTGAGATTTCCTAGCTTCAGCTAATTCTTTTTGCTCCTGAAAGTAATATAAAGAACAATTTTTGTATTGTGTAATATTAGTCACTAAACTTGTAATAAATTAGTTACTAAACAAAGTAAATAATAAATTATTAAATAATTAAATTTAATTACCATTCTGTTGACTAGCTGTTTCAACTCAGACTTTTTATTTTTATCTGTAGTTTTGGTGATCATTTTTTTAAGTTTCTGAAGTACAATAGAAAGTAAACATAAGCCCTGCATTTTTGTGACACATGATAAGAAATAAAGACAAAGCAATGCCATAATTAAAACAAGATGCCAGAAAATCGAAGAAATTTTGTCAACAACTTAGAAACATACTATTCTGAAGATGGAGCAATAAAGGATATATCAGTGTGGTCTTTTGTGGGTCAAGGACTTGACCCCTTTACATAGATCTACCCAGCCCCCATTTATTCTAGATGTCTTATGGTTCACATATAGAAAATGAGGCATTTACATGAATATAAAATTTCCATAACGAACATAAGCATAAGCCATTCCTTTACCATTAAGTCTGGTAACTCACTTACTACTATATTAGTATTTAACTTAAAACTATACAACAATACGTACCAACTTTTCTTTAGTTTTCACATCATTTAGAAAACCATATGTTTGTTTAAAAATCTTTTCATTGAATTCACCAGACAAATCATCAAAACGAGGATCTCTTGCAAGCTGATTAGTGAAAATGATATTAATTTAGCATACATTAATTGATCGTAACTGTGTGACAAGGGGGAGGGTTCAAATAACACTTTAGTATACATTTTTTGTAAATTGTAATAGGAATTAATTAATATACTCTATGTTTATCAAGCTCTGTTAATATTTTAGAAATAAATCGATGTTTAGAAAAAAATGAAACCACAATTTTAATGGGGGTTGTAGACACAGGTGTGACTTCAATTTAGGTGGGGGTCTGGTTTTTTGTGATCACATGTGACTAAGGGAGACACTTTATGAATGACCCCTAAGATTAAAATTGTTTTTGATTGTACCTTATTTTTTCCAGCAAAACTGGTTTTTGGAACAGGTCTTCTTGCAGACAGTTCTGTTGGTCTACAACATAAAACAATTAGTTTACATGAACTTACCAGTAAAAGATGTATTTATTTGTCTTAAACTTAGTTTACTTCATCAGGATCTGATGATTTTTATATGCTTGAGTTGTCTGTTTAATGACTACCATGAACATTTTTATTAAATCTATGTAACAGCCTATACTGACTGAACAAATTTATCTAGTAAATAGGAAGGGGCATCTTTATTTTTTATTTAAAATAGCAGAGCAAATAAAATACCTGTTCTTATTTTCCCTTTTGAATTTTTGAGATTTTGTAGCACTTTTTGTAATCATTCCATGCTTGATTTTATTGAACCTGTAATATATTTCACTGATTTAATGATACATTTAATGCAATAACAAAATATAAATGATATAATGTGTTGTAGTTGTAGGTTCTGTCATGTTAAAAAAATATTGTTAGTAAGAGTTTTTTTTATTAAATATACATTCTATTTTGGTATTCTTACCTAAAGTTACTACTGCTTAACCATTAGAAAGTAGGAGGTATGATAAAGTAGAACAGAAATTAAAAACAAAACAAAACCTGATGGATATGGCAAATGCAAGGAAACAGTGAAAAAAAGCAGTAATAGGTGAATGAAAGGAGAAAATGTAGGAAGAATCATTATGGCAAGCCTTTCATCATATATAATATGCCATTAAATATAAAAACCCTTATCCATAACAATTATAATGCAACAAAAACACTTAAGTAGATAATTAAAGCTTGCCACTTACGCCTTGAGTCCTAGTTTTTCTTGTATTTCCTTCAGTTCATTAAGCGGTACATTGGACATTTCTAATTTTTAAAAAGGATAAACATGCAATAAACTATAATATGCACACAACTTAATAATTTAAAAAGACATGAAAATAAAAAACAAGTGTTGGAAAAACTATTTCTTTAATTAAAAGCTGTAACTTCTGACCTTTGCGAATATCATCCTGGAAATAAACAGAAAAGATTTTGTGTATTTTTTTTATCTCACTAAAATTTAGTCTACTTGACACAGATCTATATTTTTAAACAAATGTCTGAATAATTAAAATTAAAAAATTTGGTCGTTGGTTAAGAATTACTTAATAATTAATTAAATAATTAAAATCTAATTGTAAGCCAAAAATGTTCTAAACTTACCATTGTATCATCTTCATCCATTTTGATTATTGACAGATTATACAGCTGGTATAATGGTATATTTTCAAATCAAAATACGATTTGAATAAAATCTTTTGAAAAAACTCTAGATCTACTCCTGTTAAAAATATATTAAAAACTAGAGTGATAAAGGACTTACACTTACATTCTTAAATTCACATTTATACCAAACATTAAGTTAAAAAGATTGTGAGAAACACAACTGATGGTTCAATGTGAGATGAGATGAAATTTGTAGATCACAGTATTTTTTTATCTTGCTATTATATATGCATAATACTATTAACGAGCCGACCCGCTGCGTATCATACGCCGCCATTTAGTTGTTTTTTTTCTCCTTTTTAGTAATTTATAATTTGTGAATTCGACAGTACCAATGCTGCCACTGAAAATATTTGCTTAAAAACACTAACCCCCCCCCCACGTGAAAGCAGCCTCCTCTTAGTTACCTCCTCTAAGTTTAAAATCGTTTCAAACTAAATTATCTGCCCCTAATAGCCGTCACCAAACCCGTCTCTATGATTGTAAAATGTAAACAGCGTGAGCACAGCTCACCAGACAATGTGGGGTTGGGGTGGGGGTGGTAGTGATAGTGATAGAGAGAAAGAGAGGGGACTGCAAGGAGGCGCTTGCAGCTTGTTTTCTAACTGATCCCAGAAGAGAATTATATATACAGATACTATATACTATTAATACTATAGGGTCTATAGGGCCCTATATGACTTAACTAAATAATTATTATTCAGATCAAACTTAAAGCAATTTCCTGGGAAAAGTAGTACTCCCTGCTTCGTTAAAAAAAACATTCACAGAAGTATTGACATCCAATTGAACGATATGGTAGGCACATAATGTGTTATTTATTTTTCCATTGAAATAATAAGGCAATATTGAAACTACATCGAAACATTACTAGTTGCGGGCGATTTTACGTACCTAAAATGATAGATTACCAAAATTTTAAATTTACTAAGTCTAAAGTCTAAGTGAGTTAACTAACTTAACTAAGTCTAGTCTAAGTGTAAGCGAAGTAAGTCTAACTAATAATAAACTATAGGCCTTAATAGGCCTAACTAATAAATATTTATAGGCCTATTAAATAACTAGTCCTAACTATTACTAGAAGAAGTAAAGGTAACATATCGTTTTAGGTACGTAAAATCCCTCAAGACTAGAATGTGAAAAACAGGTGACTCCTTAAATTTTATAATTATTTCACATTTTGAGGGGGATTTATGTTTTGAAAAATACAAAAATGTTTCTTTGTTTCATTTATTTTACCTGTTTTAACATTGAATTATAACTTTTCAGTAATAAATGAAGACTAGCGATGTTTCCAACAGATGCATTATTATAGCAGCCATCTTGTGTACGTTTTTTTTCCTAAACTTATTATAGTATTACAGCGCGAGATTCAGGGGAAGCCACTGTTTTATAAATGGCTGCTGTTTATATACTATTATATAGTATTATATAGCAAATCTAGCTCACAAACACTAGTGTTTAAAGTTTAAAGTAAAGTTAATGGTAATCTATTGTTTTGGGTACGTAAAATCGCCCGCGGCTATTAATGTACGAAAAAGTTACCTCATTGTCAAGGCTTTAATAGAAGTATATTGTGATATATTTGTGTCAAATATTATAGATAAATGAATAATAAACCTAAATCAATGGCTAAATATATCAATATATGCCAGAAATTATCTTTAAACAGCAGTGTTTGCGAGCAAGATTTGCAATATAAACAGCAGCCATTTGAAAAAATAGAGTGGCTTCCCCCTGAATCTCGCGCTATAAGCTTATAAAAATAAAACTTAAACAAGATGGCTGCTATAGTAAATGAGCATGGTTGCGTTGCATCTGTTGGAAACATCGCTAGTCTTCATTTATTACTGGAAAAGTTTTAATTCAATTGTTTAAAAACAGGTACATAAATGAAACAAGGAAACATGTTTGTTTTTTAAAGAACTTAAATCCTCCTCAAAATGTGAAATAATTATTAAAACTTAAGGAGTCACCTGTTTTTCACATTACAAGTCGCGGGCGATTTTACGTACCCAAAACGATAGATTACCCAATTAATGATAATGCCAATTATCTATAGATCTAGTATTTTATCATAATATGCAAAAATATACTCATATTTAACTCATATTCATTAGTTACCTTACAACTAGTATCAACTACATTACTACTTCAGCCGAATTGATTAATTGATAATTGATTACGCTAAAAGTAAAACTGCCTAAAACGATACTCGATGACGATAGGACCGGATGCCGGATAGGATTACCCGTTTCTTAAAGTTATTGAATTAAATATTAAATACTATGAAAATTTGAACTATATACTATATTTTTATAGCTCTATGAGTCTGGATCAACAGTACCAGTTAGTACAACATCTAGTCTACTAACTAAACTACTAAACTAGCCAAACAACTGAGTGTATTTTTTCAGTGTACCGTATGCCGTATAGCCGTATAGTAGGCCTATAGTATAAAATATTTTGTTCTACAGCCTACAGTCTTCAATGTAGGAGATGGAAATTTGGAAGTGGTATTTCCTTTAAACTTCGGATTTTTACCTGCCATTTCTAATTATAATTAGATTTTTTTCGGGACATCTTGATCTACGTAAGAATAATTTGTTGTAACCAAAACAAAATGTATTCAGCATTTAACTGAAATTTTATGTAAAAGATTGGTCTTTATAAATATTTCAAAATATTATTTTCACTTGCCATTTTAAGTAAAATTAAGAAACTATTGTTTCCGTGATACCCCGAACAGTAAATAAAATTGCATTAAAAACGTTTTAATAACAAGCTATTATGAATGTAGACCTACCCTAATAAAGCGCTAAAAAGGAGAAAATAAATGATTTTCTTTAAATATATAATAATACACTAATATTTAGTGCACAGAGGACTGGAAGAAACTCTGTTTATAGTTATAGCCTAGTTATTTTTTATGATAAGCATATATATATATATATATATATATATATATATATATATATATATATATATATATATATATATATATCGTGCGGCGTCAATTCGGCCAATGACGAAACGGCCCCGTCAAAACGACCCCGACAAAACGACCCCGTCAAAACGACCCCGTCAAATCGGCCCCGTCAAAAGGGCCAGCGACATATGGACCCCGTCATATAGGCTCCCGACAAATAGGCTCCCGTCATTTAGGCTACCGACAAATAGGCTCCCGTTATATAGGCTCCCGACAAAAGGGCTCCAGTCAATAAGGCTCCTGACAAATAGGCTCCCGTCATTTTGGCTCCCGACATATAGTCTCCCGTCATTTAGTTTTTTCCACAAAACGGCCACCGTCATTACGACTCCCGACAAATAGGCTCCCGCCATTTAGTTTCTCCACAAAACGCCCCCCGTCATTACGACTCCCGACAAATAGGCTAGCGTCATTTTGGCTCCCGACAAAAAGGCTCCTGTCAATTTGGCTCCAGACAAAAGGACCACTGACACAGTGGCGTAGCTACCGTAAAGCTAGTGTAAGCAAAGCATGAGGGCCCAAGGCACATAGGGGCCTTTTTCCCTCATAAAAAATTAAAACTTTTACAATGGAATTTTAATATTTGTTACATATAAATAATTTAAAAAAAGAAAAAGGTTAAAAGTTCCAAAAAGCCCCCCCCCCACCGTTTCGGCAGTGGGATTCAGTGTTTGTGGGTCAAACAGAGCCCAATCGTTATAATAACACTACAGGCTATATCACTTTGTCGTGCAAGACATTGAGAGAATCAGCCTATAAATAAACTTTTTAGCAGTAGTAGGCAAGCATAATAATATAGTAGAAAATACATAATCAGGACATATAAAATACAAAATGTTGCCTTCAGAATATTTATATATTAAAAAATATCCATCGTAAGTAGAAGTTGATCTCTTCGTTTAACTCCTCTGTAGCCTAACGCAGAGGCGTAGCGAAGGCGAGTTGGGGGGTGCAGACCGCAACGGGTGACACCATTTAGGGGGGGGGGGGGGTGACACCAAAGGCAAAAAATTGTAAAATTTATAGAATGGCATGTCATTTTCCAGATCCATTAGTTAAAGTTAAATACTCTTCTAAGTACAAATCGAAAATTATATCAAGAGGGGGGGGGGGGGTGTGACACCACGACGTAAACTATAAAGAAAACAATGCTACATCCAACTGTATTATAAACAGACTGTACATAAACATCGTTACTATTAAGTCAGCAGTGCAGTGATTAAAGCTTAAACACGTACGTGTACCAGTATGTGGCATATATATAAATTTTAGGCCTATGTAGGCCGACACACACACACACACACACACACATATATATATATATATATATATATATATATATATATATATATATATATATATATATATATATATATATATATATATATATATATATATATATATATATATATATATATATATATATATATATATATATATATATATATATGCTTTGTTTCCTGGGAGGGGGTGACAATACGAAGTGCCGCACCGGGTGAGACCCGACCTAGCGACGCCACTGGCCTAACGGCTGACCAAGGGGCCCACTGATAATTTTTGCATAGGGGCCCAAAAATCCTAGCTACGCCACTGCACTGACAATACCGTTTCTGTAGAGACTAAGTCTCCCGGCAAAGCGGTCTCATTGAATATGACATCTGCCAGTGGGACCCCTTCATCAATATTCTTTAGAGTTAGCTTATCCAACACTCTTATGTAATACAACGTATGCATCTCTTGTTCGGCAGGCCTTATTTTTATATTAGTTTATCTATTATAAAATACAGTATGTTTTAATTTAAGGGTCATCTATCTATGACATCCATAATTGAGTCGGTTATAGGCTGTTCCAACTCATTGTGTGGGGAGAAGGGTCCACGCTGTACCTTCCTAACTGCAATATGCTTGTACAGGGGCGTAGCTAGGGGGGGGGCGTGGGGTGCGGACCGCACCGGGTGACACCATTTAGAGGGTGACACCAAGGCAAAAAATAGCAAAATATATAGAGAAAAAGTTGAGGGGGTGGGGGTGCAAATCGAAAGTTTGGGGGGGGGGGGGGTGCAAATCGAAAACTTGAAAGTTTGTCCCCGGGAAGGGTCGCGACGCCTCTGGGGGGGGGTGACACCATTAAGTGCCGCACCGGGTGACACCAGACCTCGCTACGCCACTGTGCTTGTAGGTTATCAAAACAAAATGCTGTTATCATGTTAACATCATGTATATCATACATTTACACTTCTGTGCTCGCTTTTTTCTGTTGTAAATTAAACATTATCAAAACTTTAGAATTGGTGGAATTTAGCTGTTAAGGGCTCGATTTGTTTGTGAATTAATGTTGGTTCATGAAAAAATAATTTCATTCGGGCATTAAAAAGAGGTTATGGTGGTATTGGAGGAAGGACACAATGGTTACTTTTATGCCAATAGTGGTCATATCATTCATTTTTCTGGAGCCAATATGTCGGGAGTCATTTTGTCAAAAGCAAAATATGTCGGGAGCCCAATTGCCGGGAGCCAATATGTCGGGAGCCCATTTGTCGGTAGCCAAAATGTCGTGAGCCCATTTGCCGGGAGCCCATTTGTCTTGAGCCCTTATGTCGGGAGCCAATATGTCGGGAGCCGCTTTGTCGGGAGCCAATATGTCCTGAGCCTATTTGTCAGGGGTCAATATGTCGGGAGTCCATTTGTCGGGAGCCTAAATATCGGGAGCCCATTTGTCGGGAGCCTATATGTCGCAAGTCAATATGACAGGAGCCCATTTGACGGGAGCCAATAAGTCGGGGCCCTTTTGACGGGGCTATTTTGACGAGGTCGGTTTGTCGGGAGTCGATTTGACGGGGTCGTATTAACGGGGCCGTTTTGACGGGGCCGATTTGTCCCGGGCCGTTTTGACAGGGCACCATATATATATATATATATATATATATATATATATATATATATATATATATATATATATATATATATATATATATATACTGTCTATATTTCTAGCTTCGCTAAGGTTTTCTAATAAAAAAAAGGTCCTGGGAGATGGTGTAATTGAAAGGGAGTATTTGATCTGATAGTAATCTTCTTCTTCTTCCTTAATTTTAGTGTTGGAAGGGATATTTTTTGGGGGGGGGGGGGGGGGGGAGGGGGTAGATTTTCGTCGGGGAGGGGACAGAGCCCCCCCCCCCGGAAGAAAGTCTACCCCCACCCCCTAAACGAAATAGAATTTATATATTTATATTTAGAACATATATACTTTTAACAGTGTCCGACCCCCCTGACATTTTAGTCCGCCCCCCCCCCCCCGAAAATCTCAAGTGCCCCCCCCCCCCCCCCTTTTATACCGACTCGACCACGCCGAGTTCTATATATGAGAATGTTGGGTTCCATATATATATATATATATATATATATATATATATATATATATATATATATATATATATATCAGAGGCGTACCCAGGTTTTCGGTATAGGGGGAGCGAAAATAGCAAAAAAAGGCGCCGAATTTGTAATATCTTCTATATAAGTATATATATATATATATATATATATATATATATATATATATATATATATATATATATATATATATATATATATATATATATATATATATATATATATATATATATATATATATATATATATATATATCACTACAACCAAAAACAATGAACGCAGCATAATCTATTTCGTAACCCTTGTAAAAATAAACCGGGAGTGATCTCCCCTAAACTTTCTCGAATATTCTTATATAAAATAACAGGGGATGGGAACTCGGGGTATAGACATGATTTTTAATCCATTTTAAATTCTTAAAGTTTTAAAAATAGAATAAAATCTCGTAGACAAATTAATTGCACACCAAGTGAACGCCAAATAAAAAGCGCATAATAGTGCGCAATAATTATTAGTACTTTAAAAATTTACATTAGTTTTTTGAGAAATCGGAAGTAGCGTAAATTACTACTTCCGGTCAACGGAAATTACTTCAAATTTAACAGAAGGTAGAGAATTAGATCTTTTACTTACATGTGAAATTTCATTTATCTATCTGAAATAGTACTCAAGTTATAGGCTTTTGAAAAATTCAAAGTAGGAAAAGTACCACTTCCGGTTATCGGAAATCGCTCAAAAGTTGATACGGATCTACGATTTTGATAAAATACTTATATATGAAATTTCATCAACCTAGCTGTAACGGTTCTCAAGTAATCGTGTTTACACACGGACAGACAGACAGACAGACACACACACACACACACACACAGACATACGGACAAGATTGCAAAATTATGTTTTTCCGTATCAGTGAGGTGTAAAACGTCGAGATTTGTAAAAATCTCGATTTTTTTTTTTGCACGATTACAATACTTTCTCTATACTTCGTATATACGAGAAAGTAAAAACTACATTATAATTCCTGGGACAAGCGAAAAGGGGAAATAATCAATATCTTAATATAAATATGTATATTCTACACATTTT